AACGGATGGAGCGAGTATGGCCCACTACTAAAGAATGCATTGCTTGCCCATTTGCTTGCTCGCCTGGCTGCTTGGTTTGTCTGTAGCCGAACAGTCACCTGGTGAATGGCAATGAATTACTCACACTGACAAGTGTAATATGTATGTCTGAATTAGAGATGGGCACGGGACAAAAATTTCAATTCCGATCCCGCCCATCCCGACGTTTTTCCGAATTGTACCGCGGGTCCCGTGGGTCCCGAAATCTATCACTATAATTAATTCTCATGTCTTTCAATTTAATTTTAAATAATAAAAATCTGGCATCTTCCGGTTATTTAATTATTTTCCTTGCTTTCGTTTTCGTGTCAGTAAAACAAAATAAAGTCATTATTTCATAAAATGTTTTTAAGGAAGATTTTCTGACTTTGCGGAGGTTGCGATACCGCCCATCCCGGCCATTTTGAAATCAGTTCCGTGGGTCCCGCGGGTCCCGATATCCCCCGTCCATCTCTAGTATGAATGTATGTGGGGGATAGGCAAACGAGTTGCATGCATGCAGTGTCCACGTACATAGATACGAGTATATAGACCAGTATGCATGACAATGAATGCGTAAGTTTGTATGATTGTAGCTGAGCTCTTGCCTTTGTCAGTTGAATTTCCGCATCAACTCACAAAATGGTGAATGATGGCTGTAGCACCTGCTTTTCGTACCAGCGTACAACGTGCAGCGTCCTGCAAGTGAGGCTGATGGTTGATATGTATGTATGTGTGCTTGGGTTTGTGGCGTACAAATTGCAACAGCAGGGACAATGCTCGATTGCTCCCATTGCTCGATCGCAGCGCTTGTATATGTACAGGAATGTATGCCATTTACATTTCCCTTGCATGAGGCAATTTTCTGATGAATGCGTTTTTATTTTGTTTTCTCTTTTTGCGCACAAATCATGCAAAGCTCTGCCAAGCAGATGGTATAAGCCATTGGTTATGTACTGGTGCAATATGTGCGAGCGAGTGTAGGTATGAAAAATGGCTGCAAAGCACATTTTTGTGGTCACATAATTGAACTCAATATAATTTTATTAAAGAAAGCTTCCAAAAGGGACACCGAAACTTTTTCTTTTTTTAATTTACATAGATAGGGAACTGCGATAGATGGAAGCTACGACATGGCTACCCACTGCGAATAATGAGAAATTTTGTTATGCGCTTTGGAGTTTTTAGCTCTGAGAGTCCATGATAACTTTAGCCTTTACCTTATGAAAAATTAAAAGCACTTAATACATACATACAGCCCGATTCTGTGTACTTGATAAATTTAAAATCTTTATAATTTGTCACTTTTTTATTATTTATCAAGAATTGGTATTCTAGCACAGAAATCAAAAGCTCTTTTCTTGATAAATTATCAAGATTGAAAATGCTATTGACAAATTGAAATTTCATGTGAAATGTATAAATTTTGTATCTTAATAAATTTGTTTCTAACAATTAAATACTCCATGTGCCGGCATTTGAACCTGCGACACACGGAATTATAGTCGACATCTCTACCTACTCGGCTACGGCAGTCAAAAGCTTTTTCGCTTTTAAATTCATATTTTTCATATGTGACAATGAAATCAGTTCCACTCATGTGGAAATCAGTTCCACTAATGTGGAAATCGTAGAGCTTTTTGTTTTATAAATATTGACACAGAATGCGAACGAAGCTTTTACTTGATAAAAATCTTGATGAAATTTCTTTACAAAAAATTTATCAAGAAAACATAGAATTGGGCGGATAAATGAGTTGTCAGTGCTTTAAGCTCATAAATATTTAAGAGTAGTAGAAAAACGATCACAGTTTGGATAATGCCTAGCCTATAAATAAGATATTTTCAGATACTTAATCGTTTTCTGACATACGAATAGTTGACGTTGCTTCCAGTAGATATAACGGGTGATTTTTTTGAGGTTAGGATTTTCATGCATTAGTATTTGACAGATCACGTGGGATTTCAGACATGGTGTCAAAGAGAAAGATGCTCAGTATGCTTTGACATTTCATCATGAATAGACTTACTAACGAGCAACGCTTGCAAATCATTGAATTTTATTACCAAAATCAGTGTTCGGTTCGCTTTACGTCCGATTTATGGTCTACATAATCGACCAAGTGAGCAAACAATTAATGCGATTGTGACCAAGTTTCGCACTCAGTTTACTTTATTGGACATTAAACCAACCACACGAATGCGTACAGTGCGTACAGAAGAGAATATTGCGTCTGTTTCTGAGAGTGTTGCTGAAGACCGTGAAATGTCGATTCGTCGCCGTTCGCAGCAATTGGGTTTGCGAAACACATTTCGAACCGAACACTGATTTTGGTAATAAAATTCAATGATTTGCAAGCGTTGCTCGTTAGTAAGTCTATTCATGATGAAATGTCAAAGCATACTGAGCATCTTTCTCTTTGACACCATGTCTGAAATCCCACGTGATCTGTCAAATACTAATGCATGAAAATCCTAACCTCAAAAAAATCACCCGTTACTTACCTAATGCTGGGCTCACCGCGGTAACTTATGATTGGCTTTATATTAGCCATTGTTTTTTTAAGCTTGGCAGAGGAAAGAGAAACCCGAAGTTATGTATTTGCTTGCTTGGAGCACCTAAATAATTTTCCCTGTACATACGTATGTATTTCCGCTAAAAGTTCTAATTACTAACCGCACGATCTTAGGTTGTGGGCTCTTTCTGATAAGAGAAAGGGGGTGTAGGTTTTATACTTCCCCTAAAACCAGTTTCCTAGTTTCTTGTTATAGATAAGACTCATTTAGCTTTCCACAAAGGTATGTATCGGCATAGCCTTCAAGCTTTCCGGCCGATTAGTACCGGACATTAACAAATTGGATGTGATATAATTTCCTCCCGACTGCTTTTACAGAAATCTTCATAAGGGGTTCCTAGTTTGGCTGCATATAAATGCATTAAGCAGTGCACTGTAATTTTTAATAAAGGAATATTTTTACTGAGCTCGTACGTCATAATTCCCGGCTTTTACTTGGGTGTATTCTCCAAACAAAACTCTTTAGTTGTCATCGTACGCAACACAAATTATACTTCAATAACACAAGCATGAGCAAAATATCAAATCTATTTTGATTTCAGCGCAATAACTGTGCAATTTAGTACAAACACCCCCATACACCACACAAAGGACCAACGCAAGCCCGACATTGCGCAATGCTTTTGTGTGCTTTAGGGGCCCTATAAAAGCGGCGTGTGCAAAGAAACTCCGGGTTGTATTTCCCTTATAAGGCCATGGCCACGCATCATATGCAAAGCGGCGAGCAGCTGGGTGGCTGAGTGGCTTAAAATTAAAACGTATGAAATACTATTGAAGAGGACACGCACTGAGCGGCTTTTTTTTATGGCGCCGCTCATTGCGTAGCCTCGACCTAAGAGTGACCAAATCGAATTTACAAATATAGATAAAATTTTAATTGCCTTATTCGAAAAAAATAAAGTAGCTTTATAAAAGGTTTATAAGTTGAAACATGTATGAAAATGTCAATTTATAAAGCTCTTTAAACCTATTATATTTTTTATGAATCAGGCCATAAGACTTTAAATAACAAGAAAAAAATTATTTGCTTTTAAACTAGTAATATTATTCATATTTTTCAACAATGCATTTCTGCCAGCCAAAAAAATCGAAAAGGGGCATTTATGAACAAAAAAGTATCAGAGTATCAGAAAATCTTGAAAGGTATCAAAAATTATACAATTCTATCAAAATGGCAACGCTGATTAGTAGCCTTATACTCTCAGAAATCTGGCGCTGTGTGTGCAAAATTTCATAAGAAGCCGAGAATTGTATAGCTAAGTGAAGATTTTATATTTCATGTAAAGTCAGGCAACGACGACTCCGTTTCATCCGAAACAAAACTAAACAGACAAGTCCCCTTTCAACTATGTTACCAGACATTTTTATGCTTACAACAAAATTAATGATCTGAAAGTTTTACTAAAGTTTACAGTCATAAAATGTCTAAAATATTAATACTGAAACACATACCCCATATCAGTAGAATAAATTAATTACACGAATTTTTCATATTTTATTCAAAATTTTTATATTTTTTTTTACAAATTCGCCAAAAAACACGTTACACTTCAACACTCGATTGGTTTTACAGCACTTGCAGCAAAAATTAAAATTGCTGCTGCAGCACGGGCAAGCTGAAATTATTTGTCGGAAGCGATTTGCGTAATTTCAGTTGCAGTTGCAGCTTGCAATTTTTATTTCCGAAAGTGATTTCTGCAAATCTGCAAAAAGGACTTTCTGGCTGTTTATATGGGAAGTAGACTTTCGATTACGCATTTTAATTTTTTCGCATCTAAGGAAAGCTGAGTTTGAAGCCTTTAAATTCCGGTCATTCAATAAAAAATAAAAAATAAAAGGAGTAAAGGATCAAGCACGGAAGGCCTCTCTTCTCCAAAGATCAAAATGAAGGTCTTCTAGAAGGCATATTTTTCTAATTTTGCCGACAGGGTATGTATGTAAGAATATTGGTATAAATTTAAAAATCCACAAAGGCGCAAAGGGGCATCAATTTACTTACTGGAAAATCAGAAACTTCAGTTGCGTTTCAATCTTTGCATTATTTATTTTTGCCAAAATGTCTCACAGCACTTTGGGTTGTGTGTGCTTAATTGAAGGACAAGGTTTGAAAGCGTACTATTCCCAGGTGAGTCTGCTAGTTTTAAGAACTGCATACATATATTCACATAATCAAAAATATATGTACATATACATAAATATATCATCATGTATATATATATAAATAGGATTTTTAGTGGTAGTTTGCACGTCACTGTTGATAGATTTGCATGATTTTAGCACAAAATATACGAAATATAATCAGCTTCACTTCACTAAGGCCATACAAAATTCTGCTAACTAAATTAGAAACATAGTAATAATGAATTATTTTTCTCGATTTCCACAACGCGTCCTTTGAAACATTTAGTCCCACCACGTTGGATACTTAAACCCACCGATCAGGATGCCATACTCGGAAATCCTGTATCGATTACATGTAAAGCTGATGGATTTCCCATACCCACGGTACAATGGAAACAGTCGATTGGTAAGCGAAACGTTTTTCTTTTAACTCTATACTTTCTACTGGCAGAATCAACATAAGGATTCTCAACATATCTACGTATGCGCATATCTTTTATGCATCACTGATAGCTGAAATACAATGCCGGCGAACGGCGAACTCACCACAGCGAAATTCGCGCTGTCAAAATTAGAACACCCGCAAGCATATGAAATTGAGCACAGCCAAAGCGAAATGCGAAGTTCGCTTGGCGGCGTTTCATGGCGATAGATTTATTTCTATCGCCATGCTGGGCGATGACAGCTGTGCGTGCCAAAGGTGGCCGTATTTGTTTTTTGCTTTCAAAGTTTTAAAAGAAAACAACCTAAACACGATTTTTTTTTGTTGTTTGAAAAATATAGTTGTGGATTCCTTAAATCTGGCTTGAAACAAATTATTTATAATAATATTTCTTTGTTTTACATTTATATTTGTTATCATTTCCTCATTTCTAAATATGGTTTAGTTTTTTCTAAATATGGTCACCCAAATTAAAGCTGAAGCACAACACCGGCGAATGGCAAATTTTTCGTCGCGAATGTTCGCTGAGATAATTAAAACACACTGATTTATATGAGAACGCGCACAACCAAAGCAAACGACGAAGTTTGCTCGACGACTGTTCGCGACGATAGATTTATTTCTATCGCCGCGGTCAACGGCAACGACAAAAAAAGGCCATGATGACCATACTTTAAAAGTTATCGTAATTTTTGTTTAAAAGTTAAATAATATACTTTATATTTTTCTATCAGAGATTAAGCCAGTAATACGTAAGTTTACTAGTAGTTATATTTAAAGACTATTTCTATATTTTAAACTTCTTCTTGTTGGTATTTTCCCTCTTCGTTGTAAAAGCTTCCTTCTTGAAACATGGTCACCTTATCAGCTGAAAGCATTCGAACCGCTCGATACCGCTCTATTTGTGTTTCAGTAAGCGAATTAGCTGGGCGAAAGTTGGTCGTCGGCATCGCTCTGCTGGGCGAAATATGCCGTTCGCCGGGTATTGTGTTTCAAGCATTATAAAGGCGACCAAATGGGATCAGCTGTTTTCGCTACCGCTCTAATTCTGTTTAAGTAGGCGAAATAGCTGGGCGAACGGCGAACGACAGCATCGCCCAATTCAGGCGAAGTTTGCCGTTCGCCGGTATTGTATTTCAAGCATGACGTATAAGAAAATACATACATAACTGTAAAATAATTGGGACTAGAGTCGAAGACACAAATAAAGCAAAAAAAAAATGCTCATATGCTGACAGATAGGCTGCGTTATTACCAATAGCATCTCCTGTCTCTGTTTCATTGGTTCCCGGTCAAGGAGACAACAATGGCAATAAAGATAGCTGATGATAGATTCCATATTGGAATAAAGCAAAGAAAAAAAATTAGTCGGCATTTCCTTTTAACTGGGTAGAAATAGAAACACGTTGTCAAAATTTAGAGACTTAAAAAATATCATGGACACACGGCGACTGGAAGTATGACAAGCATATTTCTCACGCTATGGATTGAGAGTCTGTTCCACCATACCACTCATGGCATAACTAATAATGGGTATTGTCATCGAGGTGTAGATTCAAAGGCCTGTTTACATAACCTAGATGCCTCCATGAAAGTTAGGAGGCATCCAGAACTACTCCGAGATACTTACTTAACTTCGGAAAAAATCTGGAATCTGAATTGTGACTCCTTTAAGTGTGGTGAGAAATAAAACCATTCAACCGTCCCCTTTAAGTGAAGAACACTAGTTTTGTCCGCCCAGTAACCCATTCTCATTACCCCAAAAACAAATTTCCAAAGCGAAGGCCTTCTTAGTGATGGCATTGCTTATAACAGCAGCTAGATTTCGCGGAGCCGTCTCACAAGATTATCTCACCTGATAGGCGTGTTTATCCCAAGGCAAAGGGTGCATAAAAGCGCTTCCTTTCGAATACACAGCTTAATAAGTTACACCATTGATTTCATGAAGAACATCATGCAAAAAATGGTGAGGCTTTCTTTTCGGGCTCGTATCACCCTTCTCAACCTTAGGGATGAATGCGGCATCAACTGGTCTCCATGATTGTGGTATAAAGATAAGTGAAATTCTTTTTCAAGGCCGCCAACAGAAGTCCAACACCTTTTTCGTGTATCACACCATCCGTACGGGGCGATTTGAAGCTGTTAAAGGATCCAAACCAATTTTATCCGACCAAAGGTTTCAAGACCGTTGTATACTACATTTTAAAGGAAGCTCTTTTCGAAGAGCAAACTAGCTAGAAAGAGGTCCTGTAGAAAGTGATACGTCACTTTTTTTTAAACTTATCTTTTTTTGGGAAACTTTTTAAATTTTCCTTTCCATAAGGACACCTTTTTAGCTTACATGGAAACATATTTGGGCAATTTCAATTAGTTCGAAATTTCGCTAGTTTTTATTCGGACACATAATTTTTGCTGGCTTATTAACTAAATCCGGTAACATACATATGTTGCCTAGATTATGTTAATGCAAAAAAACGTCCACGTTGGTGCGTTGATCGCTCATGAGAGGAGAGTCGAAAGTAGCTCGTTAGAAGTACGTGCTTGCAACAGGAAAAGAGTAGTTATGAAGAGTCAAGAGTGGCGCAACTCCTTTTTTTTAATTCTGCCAATCGCGGCTTTTATAGTATACTCTAGCTGGTGCGTTCCTAAAACTGTTACAAAAAATTTTAAAAACGTATGGCGCGTTGCTTTAAAACGTTGCATCATGTTCGATTTTGTATTCTAGGAGCTGAAGGAACGTATACTAAAAATTTCAGACATGTGCTTACGATTTAGAAAAAAAAAAATTTTGAAAAAAAAAATTCGAAGTTTGTGAGAATTGCCCATTTGTGCATGTAGACATTACAAATCTAACGAGGATTGAAAACTTTCGCTTTTATAACTTTCGGTCCAAATCTTTTAAGCAAACCTACGCTTTCTATCCCCAGGCGACTCTGGCGAATATCGTGAACTTAGTTATGGCATAGGAAACGGCAACTCGCAATCGGTAATTGAAACATATAACAACGGTTCGCTGATCATCCCCAAAGTCGGACGTGAACACGAAGGCAGTTATCTGTGTCAAGCGAGTAATGGTATTGGTGCAGGTTTGAGTACGCTTATAAAACTAACTGTGCATGGTGAGTTCAAACTACAGCAAATTTGTACATTTTGTTTCTATTGAATGTGTCTAATACTTTAGAATTTTCTACTTTCACTCACTCTTTATTCTTCTTCGCAGTTGGCCCGTCAGTGACAGTTTCAAAGAAGCAAGTATCCGTGCGCCGCGGTGATCGTGTCACACTGCGCTGTGAAGCTGATGGCGATCAGCCGTTGAATATCACATGGCGTGCCAAAGCCAATCACATTGATCCATCCTATGATATACGCTATCATATCAAAGATTCACCGCTTAGTCGTGGCACGGTTTCGGAAATGACAATTCTTCAGACGATTCTCAACGATCGTGGCGAATATACTTGTGTTGCTACCAATAATTATGGTCACGATCGTGCAGGAATTCATCTACAGGTGCAGGAACCCCCGAATTTCCCTGTTAATCTGCATGTGACCGATTTAGGCAGTCGTTCGGTGACGCTGGCGTGGTCACCCAATGATCAAGATTCCATATTCATGAGTAATGGAGGTAATAATCGGGACTCACAACCGATATCGAATTATATTTTGCAGTACAAGAAAGCTGGAGGTAAGTAGGTCACTGGTAATCAGTATTTACTTATGTAAGAATTACTTTCACATGTGTTTAGATGTCTGGCATGAGCACAACAACCAAAAGTTGTTGCCCGGCGATAAGACAACTGCCCAAATAGGTTCGCTACGTCCCGCGCAGGCTTACCACTTCCGCCTCTATGCCGAGAATCACTTGGGCACAAGTGCCCCGAGTGACATATTACTCGTACAAACTGATGCTGAAGTGCCAAGTGGTCGACCGCAGGACGTTTCAGCCGAACCGCTCGGGCCCCAACAACTGCTCATCACTTGGAGGCCGCCAGAACGTGACACATGGAATGGTGAACTGTTGGGTTACACAATTGCCTATCAGCGGCATGGCGCTGCGGATAGTGTACAAAACTTCACAAAAGTCAGTAGTTTAGGTGGTGAGGGACTAAACGATTTTCGACTTACGGGCTTGGAGAAATACACTCAGTATGCCATAACCGTATCTGCCTTTAATGTGAAAGGCGATGGTCCACGAAGTGAAGTGACTATGGGTCATACTTTAGAAGATGTGCCATCTGCGCCACCACAAGGCGTCACATGCATTGCTCTGACCGCACAAAATATACAAATATCCTGGCAAGCGCCACCCAAAGAGTCCAATCATGGCATCATACAAGGTTATAAGCTACTCTACGAACCCGGCAACATCGAATCCGAGTATGGCACACGCGAAACTAAGATCACTTCTGCGCTGAGTACTGTACTCCATGGCCTGCAACCCTTCACCAATTATAGCGTGCAAGTATTGGCATTTACCAGAGCTGGTGAAGGCGTGCTCAGTTCTACTGTATCTTGCACCACAGAGGAGGCAGTACCAGATGCACCTGAGCGCGTTAAGTCAGTCGTTAGCAGCGAATCCTCGGTTATAATCAGCTGGTTGCCACCGCGCAGACCAAATGGTATTGTCACTAAATACAATGTTTACATACGTATACTGGATAAGGGCCAAGAATTGAAAATTCTCAAAGAAGTGCTGCCAGCTAACAATCGACACTTCGAAGCTAAAGATTTGATGGCGCGTGAAACTTACGAAGCTTGGGTTACTGCAGCGACACGTGTCGGGCAAGGACCCAGCACGCCAGTTATTAAATTGGTACCGAGTAATTCGGTACCAGCGGCCATAATTTCATTTAGTCAAACATTGAGCATCAGCTGGCGTGTGGATCTTAAGTTGGCTTGTGTTTTCGTGGGCAACCCAAAACCCAATCCTGAGTGGAAGGTTTTAAATGCGCGATCAAAAAAGCATTTTCGCTTGGAGGTGAGCAATGATAATACGTTAACTTTGCGTAATATACAGCGATCGCATGAGGGCAACTATTCGTGTGTGGTGCGAAATTCGATTGGCTCGGACCATATTGTCTATCAAGTATATGTACAAGGTGAGTAGAAGAAATAGTTAAAGGGGTTTTAGTACATACTTATAATACAGGTTGTAGGTTATAAATTTAACTTATTGAAGGAATGCAGGAAGTGTCCATAAAAATTTTCTTTCCACAATCTCAGTTGCCTTCGCCTCAGGGCAATACTGGCAATTGTCAATTCTGGCAACAATCTTGAAAACTCTTTACTGTCTTTCGAAAGACTAATAGAAAGATCTGCTAACGCGGAGATCTTAGCTGTATGTATACTGATCGCCTTTTAGCAATAAGTTTTTAAAAATTAAATTGAATTAAAAAAAATTTATATTTTTCTTTTTAAAAATGAAATTAAATAAAAAAAAAAAAATTTTCAAACAACAAAAACTAATGAATAAATAAACGTTTAAAAAAATATAAGAAAAATAAAAGAAAGCAAAAATAATTAAAAATATTTCAAAAATTAAGTGAAAGTAAAAAATTAATTTTTAATATTGTTTTTGAGTTTTGGATCGAACCCGCATCATCGATGTGCAAAGTCAGAAGCATTAACCACCTAATAAACATAATCGTGGTACAAAGCTCAATAACAATATTAAAAATAAAATGTTAATAAGTCACAATAACATTACTAAAAAGTTATTTTTTTTTCTTTTTAAAACACAAAAATATAAAATTCATTAATATAAAATATAAAAGAAAAAATTCTTAAAATCAAAAATAAACCAAAAATCCGCTGCCCGAGGACTCGAACTCGAATGGCACGCCTGTGCTTTGCTCACTCGGCTTCTATTTGCTGAAAAAAATCCTTGCACCACAAATATCTGCTAAACAATTTTCGCATTCGCTGCTTTTAAGTACTTCATTCAAAATAGCTAAATTCATTAATTAATTTTTAATTTTCCGCTTTATTCCTATAGTACCACCATCTGCACCCGTCCTTTCCGTGATCGGCAGCACCACCAATTCCGTATCGCTGCAGTGGCGTGTGGAAGACATTGGTGGTGCCCCGCTGCGTGGTTTTACAATGACTTACCGCAAGGAGTTCGGTGACTGGGAAGAGGTACAACTCGATCGACGCGTTAACTCCCATCTGATTGAAAGTCTGGATTGTGGCACACGATACCAATTTACAATGGTAACTTTCAACAAAATTGGCACCAGTGAAACAAGCGCCATCGAGACGGCAAAAACAAAAGGTAGGTAACGCAGATAAATTCGCCTCCAAATTATTTACTAGGCCAATCTTTGTAGGCAATAAACCCATCTCGCCACACAAGCAAAGTCTTATACGTTCAAATATAACATCCGCATTGTTGGAGCTATCATCTTGGCAAGATGGTGGTTGTCCAATACAGTATTTCAGCATTGAGTTTAGGCGCTATGGCATTTCCAGCGATTGGATCATCGTCTCTAGTCGCATAGAGACACACGTATGTATCTTTGCTATAGGATATAGCTTATATATAATTAACTCTGCTTGCAGACACGCTATACAATTGGTGACTTGGAGCCTGGTGCTGCTTATAATTTGCGCGTTTCGGCACATAACAACGCAGGATCCACAATTAAGGAATACTATTTTGAAACTTTACACTTCAATGGTCTTTCTGCCGAACTGGATCACAGCGACTTACCTGAGGTACGGACACTCTTCCGAGACGTACACCTGATAGCGGTTATTATTACATCTGTGTTCGGCACGATCTTGGCTATAATTGGCGCTTGCATTTGCTTCAAGAACTGTTAGTATAAAGATACTCAACTCTTCTATGATCAAGTTATTCTACAAGTCGCATTTTTTACTTTTCCCCAGATCCCCGCCAGCTATTTGCACGGAATGTCGACTCGATGCGGCCACATGGCGCTGACGGCAAGGATATCCAACATCGCGAACAATACTACGGTACGGTACGCAAATCATGCCAGCAATCACCACCTGAATCGGTTGCTGGGCTTGAACGCATACCTGAATACTCTGAAGATATCTATCCTTACGCTACATTCCATTTACCAGAACATGAAAATCAATCGGCTAACATACCACTCAGCCGCAAAGGAGGCCTACCGGCTATGTACGATCCGCGCGGTGGCAGCGTCGGTGGCGGTGTCATAGATGACAACACACTCTCCAGCACCGGCGCCAAGGTGAAACGTTCTGTCTCAGCTGGTATTGGCAGCAGCAACTCAAATGCGAACTTATCCGGTGGACCGGGTGCACCATCGGGCGAGTGTAGTCATACGAATACTGAGAAACGGCATAAACGACGCTCTAAAGCGATAAAATCCGAGTCAGAGGAGTACGATAGCTTGAACAGCGACAGTGATTTGAGTGGCGAACGCATACGTGAGCGAGAACGCGAAGAAAGTCGTAGCGGCCGAGAATCCTCGTCACATCTGGACGATGGTGGCTACAATCGTAAGTAAAATTTACATTATAAGAAATTTATATTGGTTTTTGTATGCAATCGCAAATACGAAATGACATCTGGTCTTTTCTGGGTCGTTAATATGTGTCCATTTTATTTTCTGATGAACCAGAAACGGTTCTAGGAGCGTACTCTACAAAGTTTTTTATTTTACTTAAAAAGAGTCATTCTGGTACCTCAGCGGGACCCATACTAATTTTGTTTAGATCCGATAATTAGATCGTGAAGAAATTAATGATATCCTTAAATTTTTGTATGAGAATTGAAGTCGGTTTTGTTTTTTGCTTAATAATTACTTGTTCTTTCATATGTCGCGATATGGCTTAGTGTACAGGCATTAGCTGTCTGTCCACATTTCTACTGAGTTCTGATTAATTTTAAATGAGGAGGATAATGAGTTCAGGTGTGAACGTAACAGTACCAAAATCCGGTCAGTGACAGCCGCTTAACTTATTAAAGGGAAATAGGAAAATGAACTCGAACGTGAATATACATATGTATGAATATGAATATGAAGAAGAATATGAATACGAATATAGCTACGAATATGAATATGAATATCTATGAATATGAATATGGTTATGAGTAAAACTGTGAGTATGAATATTAATGTGAATATAGATATGAATTCGCATATTCAAACGAATATGAATATGAGTATATGAATAGAAATATGTGAAGATGAGAATGTTCTAGTCCTTTCTTCTTTACTCTTTTTGTGAATTTCGTTATTAATATATACTATATAAAGTATAACTGCTTTGTTTTCTTTCAATTACAGCTCACGGCCATAGTCCTTGCGGTGGTGGCAACGCAGGAGGCAATAAGGAACGCCTTTCCGTATTCAGTAGGCCTCAACTTCATAGTAAGTTAGTACCTGTTTTAACTAATTAACACTTTTTGAGATTTTGCAAGCATTCAAATACTAACCCTTCACTGACCCGTAGTAAATCAGCCACTACCACCGTCAGCAAAACCATCACGCCACAGTCAGTTTTACTTATTACTAACACTTGCATTTGATACGAATCCAATAACCAAATCAGCACACCCAAACAATATACACCAACACCTGCGAGCACACCCACACAACTGCCCAAATGTGTAGACTTTTAGTCAACCTTGTGTTTTACAGTGTTTTAAGTAATTTTGCATAAATACATATGTATATGTATGTCCAGAAAATATTACGCCGATTCCCAAGAAAGACTCCAAGAAAGAGATCTCACGCACTTCTAAATCACCAAAACCGGCAACAACAACAACAACAACAACAACAAGTAAACCGACTACAGCTACGCCTACTGCAATCAAATCCACACGCACCTTTTTCCAATCCATAATACCCACCCGCATCATTTCTAACGCCATGCATGCACCACCCGAACGCCAACCTCCTCCATCAGACCCCTCCAGCACCTCTCAGTATGTGGAAGCACCAATTACGACAAAGCAGTGCAGTTCACTTGCCGCCGCAGCAGCAGTGGCGGCAGCAGCTAAAGTAGGCAACAATAAAAAGCAAAAACTTCATGGCCCACAACCCACACAATCGCGTCAATTACATCAACTAATGCCACAGCGTTCTTCAGTGACATCTCCCAAACAATTTCATCAGCTCATGCCACGTAATGCACAGCTGATCAGTACACCTGCTCGTCCACTCTCACCTTCGCCACCATATCGTTTCGCTTCATCCACTTCATCAACTTCGACTTCATCCAAGCGCGAACGTGTCACCAACACCAATACTCCTCCTAACACCACCACCACGTCCAGCAACAATCTCGAAGCAATCGCATGCAGTATTCCAACTACATTACGTACAAGTCCCCCAGCATTGATTAGCACTACCACCCAGAACACCCCAACCAATATCACCAACAACGCTATGAAGCCGCCAAATTCACGCAGTGGTAGTAGTAGTAGCGATAGCATCGGATATCACAAGCGCTCGCTTTCCAATAGGCAAGCCAATTTGTTGTAGTCGATGTGATTTTTTTTTAAATGTATCTGCACCAACAAATACACACATACTTGTACACGTATTTACGTATTAACGGACTGTATGTACATATGTTTCAAAAAACGATTATTTTGTTTTAAAATTAGCTAGATTTTGATCATTTACGTATACTTATATGAACATTAGGGCGGTCCAAACTTTTTTTCCCACATATACATATATTAATTTCAATTTCGCTGATTTAGAGCGTAAATTAAGTTTTTATTGTACTTAGGAAAAATTCAAGGAATTAGTAATCAAAAGCAGACGAGGCCAAAATGCATTCGAATGTCTTGTTTGTGTTTTGCAACCTTACGTACACACTTAGTTAGTAAATGAGTTGTGTATAACATAATATGGGAAACTGCGATTTAAAAAAATATTTTCAACTTTCCTAATAAATGCTAAGTGGACGAAGTTTAAGTATTTTAGTGTTAGTCTGGTTACCGCCACACAATCCGACAGAATGTGCTCCGACGTCTTTGCCACATTAAGCCAAAGCAGCATACCCTCTACCTGGCTAGACCAATCCGGTGTATGTGAGAGTTGGTTATCCTGTGAGAATCTTATTGTTGGCTCTATTCAAAAGGTTCTTCTTGTTTTTGCAAAAGATTATCAAATAACCTGGCCCTCTCAGTTCACTCACGCAGTAATTGTAAGTCCCGATGAAGACCAAATCAGAACGGAAAAACTCTCCACTTCATCGCTGACCTCGTTTGCTACGATCTAACAGTATCCTGGTACCCAGCACAGTGCTATTGTGTTTGTCGCTTGCAAGAGTTGAGAAGTGTCAAAACGTTCTTTAAAGCACTTGGAGTAGACTCTAAATATGTAACTCTATGCCTCTTTGCATGAATGCCCTCTTTGCCAAAGAAAGCGCACGGAACAAATTTGAGTGCACTTTTGATCTACTAACCCAGTTGATTTTCCTCTGACATAAGCTAACTTCATATGGTATAATGAAGTTGAAAGTCGCAGTTTTTCCCTAATTTAACAGTTTTTCGAACAGTCCTAGGAACGAAGGTCAGGTGGACGGTTACAAGACTTAGAAGTGTCAGATATCTTCCATCAAGTACCCGGTATGTATGCCCAAGTACTAATTAACTTCAAATATACAGATCGGATCGATGATAATATCACCAATGATTCTTTGAGTTGGTACTGGAAGGATTCTATTACTACCTGCAGATTTGAGCGATTCAAAGACTCCACGGTCCACTGTACCTAAGCCATGTAATAGCCCTTAATTTCACACCAAAAAAGTTGGTTTTAATGCGGCCATAGCATAGAATTCCCGAAAATATCAAAGAAACGGAAAATTTGAATATTCGTGCACAACAGCGTTTCCGTTGGAAATAGCAACGTCCGAATTTGGTTAATCGATTGTGTAGTAGAACATTTGTTGCAGCACAATATCCTCTTATAGCGCAAGAATTCTCAAAACTGTGCATTATTATTTCCACAAAGCATGTTTCTAAATATTTAAGTTTGAACTTTACGTATTTTCCTGCATTTGATAACTTGCATGCTTCACTACTAACGAACCCCCCTATCCATGTAGTATAGAATTCACATTGGCTTTCATTTATTTCGCTTGTTTCAAAATATACATACATACATACATTTGAAACACCTAACTGTATTTTCGTTTACCTTCAACAGCAGCATGGACCCCGTGCCCTTCGACTACCGGCTCTTTGACGCGCCAGCAAAACAACCGAAACCAACAATTGCCTGTGGTGCACAGTCACAGTCGCATCTCCACCACCACCACCAACGACAAACATCATCCACATCAACTTCCACATCCACATCTACCCAAAATTCAACCAACCATACAAATATGTCCAGCGGTCTATCCGGTGGCAAAGTACGATCAAAAACTTCCGATACTAATTCCAACAGCGGCAGTAGTCTCCTCCTCGCTGGCGAGTACCAATACTCAACTAACAGCGTCCCCGCCCCGCATATTGTCCAGTCGGGTTCATATGTCGAAATTCTGAAGCACGCCACACCCCACTCCACAAATATGACCAATATTGCACAGCAACAACAACATCAACAACCCGCAGCAACACAAGCGCCGAACACTAAACGTGGCGGATCAAGTGGCGGCGCTGGTGCAAATGCCGTCATAGGTGGTGCAGCGCTAGCTTGTCACAATAAAAGCTATGGTGACTTTCTAACCATTACACCACGTCGCAAAGGCAAATTGCTTTCGTCCAGCTATGGTGACAAGCATGGTGGTGTTGGTGGCGCACTCGATGGCAGCAATCAAGACAACTATCGCCATCATCTACCCACCAGCATTGAGCCGCTACATCTACTAGGCATACCCAACGACAACATGTCCACTTTCTTCGACTATCGCGCCATGGAGACGCTGAGCAATGCCGATACGCTAGCTATAGGCAGCAGCCTCTCGGGTCATGCACACATCAAGGGCAAGGCATACGACAGCAGCATATCATCGTGTTTGAACGCGAACAACTATGGAGAGTCCACGCAGAGCAGCAGCAGCAGCACAGCCATTGCTGATGAATTCCACAATATAATCAGCGAGAAAAATCTAAGTCCACCTTCAGCGTTCAGTGATAACAACAGCTGTCTACCAAAGAGTAAAGTCTAATTTCTTTGGGCGGCGATAAGTCAAGCAGTCAATGAAGATCATATCAAAAGCATTCAATAACGTAATCGAAGAACTGAAGAATTCTGCATATCAAGCATAAAGAATTAAATATAGAGTGGCGTTGTAGTTAGACACTGGGATTGCGCCGCACAGTGGTCGGAGAAGCCATGTTTTACGCGCGAAATTAGAAGGGCTGCTATGATTATAAAAAAAAAACTACTTGATCGTAGTATTGTTGTACTGCTTAATCCGAATATGCCATAAAATTTATGGTTTGACGTTTGAGAGCTTTCAAATCAACTGTCAATTTCTCTAAAATTAAGCATATCTTTTTGAAAATACCACTGATTACGTTTTTTGACATGCTGATCACGAATTTTATGTCAAATTAAACCCCTGACAGTTGACAGCTGTCAAATGAACTATGAATGTTACTAAAAATAATAGAATATTTTTAGAAATGTCACTGAATAGGTTTTTAGACATGCTGATAAGGAATTGCGTGTCAAGTTAAAATCCTCAGAGTTTACAACTGTCGAAGGGGCTGTCAATTTCTCTAGAAATAAGGAAAATTTCCCACAAATTAAACGTACTATGTTTTAAGGCTCACTCATCTCGAGTTATGTATCACATGAACACTTTTTCAATTGACAACTGTCAAATCAACTGTTATTTTCAGTTAAGTAACACAATAGATATTTTTTTTAGCAAAATCGTAGTGAGCAAACTTAAGAACCTCTAAATACCAAATTTCAAGAAAATTCAGTAATTTTTTAATTCTTGGACGCCATATTGGATTCGTTATTGGATTTTTTAAAATTTACTTCAGCTTTGTGAAGACACATCTTATAAATAATATGATGCCAAATATAGAATAAATTACATTAATCTTTAATATTTTAATACACTTAATGTTATTTGGAAAAACTGCTAAAGTTGGTCCAGTGAAATAAAAATTAACGCCACTCTTTTTGGCGCGAGTATGCGCGATCTTTCTTTTCGCAGATCCTTAAAGGGACCTTTGCATTTTTTTTTGTTAAAGGAATGAAGATCTTACTCGGTCCTACAAATTAGTTACATCTTTCTGAAGAAAATATTGCTAGAAAAATAAGCCGTGTTGATAATTTAGCAACCAAGTTTTATTATGTAATGTTTTATATGAAATTATTATTTTCCATGTTTAAGAACTAAGACCAAACCAGCAATTACGGTTATAATTGAATGTTTCCATAAAAAAATTTTTGAGAAAGCTATCAACTCATAACTGTTAGAATGCGCCACGATCGAATTCGTTGAACTAACCGGTTTTGAGTTCGTTGGACATTTCTGAATAAGAATACATAGCTTTATTCCGGTTAATTTACCACAGTTTTAAAATATGCCTTTTTCGCGTAAAATATGGTTTCTCCGACCACTGTGCGCCGATTTAATGCATAGAAAAAAATGGGAAAGGAGTCAACTAAATAAGCGAAAAGAAATTTAAGACTTTATTGAAGCATTTAAAACAGCGGAAATATAATCTTGAAAATTACAACAACAACAAAAAAACTAACAAATTTTGTGCATAACTATTTAAGTCAAATTACAAGTACATATGTGAGGATATGGGTACATATATTTAAAATTAAATGACTGGTGTGATTTTACATGAAATTCACAAAAAAAAATCCAACAAAAAAGCGTTATTGCAGTAGTAGTCTTGCGTAGACCATTTAAACCACAAATTAAACTAGTGTAGATACTAAAAATATATATGTAAATGGTTATGTTTGTATGTACTACTTAGACTATCTATTTAAATTTATAACAAATACTCATTGCACTTAACGTAAGTAACGCATAGTTAAATTAATTAGGTGTAAAAGTTAAACATTTTTTTCGTTATGGAATGGTCCCAAGGCACTTGGAAAGTAACTGAAGATAAGTGAGAAACCGGTGTAGGAATATCATATGAAAAAAACTTCAATGAAGTATTTGAACTTATTTGCATTTAATTAGATAAATCGGCAAAAATGTATGTATGTATTTGTACAATTTTCAACATATGGGAGGCAATAAAACTCTGCCTAACAACAGCCCTAAATGCTATCCTCAACCTATCGACCTTCACCTGAAAGAAGTGGCTACGAAATCAGCGGTCAGACTCAGAATGTTAAACCCTTGGGGGGCCAGGTACTTTAAAAATAGTTTGATCATTGACAAAATACAATTAGGAAGAGCGACAGATCATATGAGAGGCCGTGTAGACCAGTGTTGCCAGGTCTTCGGCATGAAAAAAAACTTGGTCTGAATAAAACGTCATTTCTTACCCAAAAAACATCTTTTCCAAATGTATGCACACAGAATTGTTATTATTAAACTTTTATTGTATACAAAGGTACATACATAAACAGTACGTAAGGTATATTAAAATGTCATTTCGACACATCACATAGTATCGAATTCATTATAATTGATCAATATGGTGAATACCACTATTGTAAACTGGTTTGAGATCGTTAATATAAAAATCATTTTATACATACACTTGTGATTGTGTGCTGATTATGTCATAAACATTTTGATCGATTTTGGTTCTTTTTCTTTTGTTTATTTAATGTTTATTATTTTTCCGTAAAAGCCTAGCTCATCATAAAACAAACACAATATAAATTCGCATTTCAAACTTTGTGCAAAAATTATAAAAAATCTGCAAAGTTTCAGCTAGATTTTCAACTTGTTATGCAGATCTTTTAGAATTTTTGTTTGAGTATGCAGTTTGATAGCCATTAAATTTCAGGGCAATAATGTGCAAGTTTTAAGTTGCTAATGAATCGCGTTGATTTTTAATATTTTTTTCTTTCTTTTCTTGTAGACATTTGGTAGGTGGTCGGTTATCAAAAATGCTAAACTACGTTCTGCTACGCTTTTGCGTTCATTACATTTTCTCGGAAGTCTTAAAAAAGACGCCTACTTTTTTCTGACTTTCTATGCTGCTACAGCTTTTTCGGAACTTTTGCGAGCGTGCGTGTGCAATAGATCAACTCTTCCTGATTTGGCCTTTAATGTGCAGTTGGAAACAATGCAATAAGCCTCGTAACCTCAAGTGTTTACACAACCAGCCTTTGAAAGCGGGATCCTTAGTCGAAGAATAAAAAAAAATTGCGCATACGCTTGGTTTGTATCATATTTAAGTCATCTGTGTCCAAAGAATAAATATCTTTTGAATCAGCTGGTGCAAAAAAACAAAGCTTGTAAAGATTTATTAAGAAAATAATTCAAAATTAGTAACAAATTTGCAGAAAGTGTGAGTGAGTGTATGTGTGATCCCATCTGTCTTTTTGTATATCAACTGTATGAATTGATTGCGTTTTTCAACAAAATTGGAATTTTGAAATACTTATACGTTATATTATTAAACGTGCGACGTTGTGCATAGAGAAAAATTACTGGAAAGTTGAAAAACGTCATTTTTTACACAAAAAACGTCCAATCGTCAACAGGATACAAAAACGTCCAAATGACGTTAAACACGTCAACCTGGCAACGCTGCGTGCAAGTGCTATTCCCGAGCTTCCTATAGAAAGGTCATCTCTCCATATATCGACGTACCCAAAATGGATTGATCTGTCTCTAGGTACCCCTGAAGGCTATAAAATTTCAGGTAATGACCTCATGTACAAGAATAAAAAAAAAACATATATTCTGACAGCTAGGCGTAGCTATTGGGAATATCATAGAAACATCGAAGTCAAAGAGAAGGCTGATGAATTGACGAAAGCCTCTTAGGATGAATCCTCTAGTGAATCATCTCTAATGCATCGATGTTTTTAAGATATTGTAAATATCGGTTCAAAGTTCGATGTTTGCCATCAATGTTTAGAATTTTCCTTCATCGCTAAATTGACGATGCATCGATGTAAGTTTTAACTTGCCCATTGCTTTTCAAAAATTGTTTGACTGATAAGAAAATTCTTATCTTATTCATTCTTTAAATTAACATTCCGAATTTTCGAATTGACGTTCAGTATTGAGAATGCTATCATAACTATTAAAATAAAGTGACAACCTCCCATAGTCACACAAAATATTTGTTATACGTGCTCCTAGAATTTCAACCAAATTAGGCCTTGGAACTTTACGCGTCTTTGGAATGGTATGACTGTTTTTTCTTATTACTGGAAGAGTATAGAAAGTCTAATATAATCCAGGAAAATGCATCCATATATACATAAGTATGTATTTCTTGCTGATATTAAGAAGAGTGCATACGTTCGAATATAAGGCATTCTTTTTTAAGTCGCGCGGATTTCTCAAAAAAAATGATGTCATGTCTCCGATGAAACAAGCCACTTATTCGAGTATTTTTTTTCCTTCGGAAATATGATCTGTCGAAGTTAGAAAGTTTTTCGTGATTCAGACTTAATCATGCACTTCTTCAATTCATTATATCTCGGGTTATTCTCATCGCAGGGACTACATCTTAACGTCGTTTTAAAGCTATTCTGCTGAAATCCGCCATAAAATCTTTGTTTTGCTAACTTCAGTCCTTCAATTGCCACGCCCAATTTTTACTGGATAAGGTATTCTATCTACATTTCACTGGACTATTTATAAACAGGTGGTCAGATATAGAGACCTGTAAGATATCAAGATTTTGGACCTGCTGAATACATCAAGAACACAATTATTGTAGAAGAATTGTAGCAAAAATTACGATTCACTGGCCTCTAAATAGGAAAACATGTGGACAAAAAAATACCTAAATAAAAATAAACTCTTCGCCTGCGGAAATCAGTCAACGACTAATTAGGTAATAGATGGTCGTCTTCTCCTCGTTCTGGCAGCTTTTGCTGAAGTCATTCCGAGGATTACTCACTCTGAAACAGTTGACGTGTATCAAGCAATGCCCAGTTGTTGTTGTTGTATTTGGCGGCTACAACAACCCCGCCCAGATCGGTTAGTCCCACAATCGTTGTCGTCAAGCTCTACTAGCGGCAGTCCCAGGAAGCGTGCAGCCTCGATGGGGACTGTCCATAGGGACAGCGGCGTCAGTAGGGTGGGGTTCAGTGGGCATGCGAAGAAATTTCCAGTAAGGACAGTTGCTGCAATGAGAACTTCATAAGCGCTGAGCTTATCACATTTCACATTTTTAGACTTGTAATTTTTTAATGTAAGGAATTGATATCAGTATCCACATGAGTTGATTCCTTTTTGGCAATGGGTAGTGAAAAAATCTTTTAGAAAAAAATAGTAATAACAATAATAAAAACTGTGCATTAGATTAGAAGAATATTACACATTTATAGATAGTATAAGCGAAACACTGTTAAATAGTTAAATCTATAAAAAGAAAAGAATTTAATAATCATACAAAAAAAAACAGACGAACTTTTTTTAAACTGTGTATATACAAATAACAACTATTTATAAGCATTTAATCGTATGCATTTATATCTAATAGAAAAACTGAACTGCAAAATATCCACTTGCAAACTCCGATAGAAAAGTTAGTTGTACTACGTACATGCTACATACATATATACATGAATTCATATGTAAATAAAACAAAAATGTTTACCCGATTGTTGTGTGGTGTCGGCGGTTGACAAAGCTGCGCTAAGTCAATACTAATATGTATGTATGTATTAAAATAAGGCATACGTGCATCTATATACATACATACATCCTGTGCATATACATACATATGTACGGAAATATGTTCCAGCAATTACACACACATTTTGGCTAAAAGACAAAAATTTACAATTAACCCTCGAAATCAATTTTAATGCGTCAATTTTTTTACGAAAATTTACAAAACCCTTAATATAAAAAAGACATACATAGTTAAAAAGCAACAAAAATCTAGTGTGACATACATACATATATAAGAAGTAAAACAATAAAATCTCAAATTAAAACTACGCGCATGTATCTATTGTGTTTTAGAAAACATATACGAGTAATAACATAATTTAAAAATTTTCCAAAAATAAATAAAAAAGCGTTACAAATTTATTGAAAAAACTAAAAAAAAAATTTAACCAGTATTAACTTAAATTAAGTTCAAAATAATGACCCAATTCGCAAAAACAACTGGAAAGCACACGAACATCTAAATACATGTGCACAGTGATTCAATTAGAGCCAAGCAGCTGAGCAAACATCTTTACCAATTTTACGACTATACCCATGATAAAAAAAAAATGGGAAGGTCGAACCGCTGAGAGGAATTTTTCAAATTTTTGACGTTTGCAAGCAATTTAATTATAAAATTTTACACACAAACTCACACACACATTCTCATTTTCAATCTCAAACAACAACAACTTTGAACAATTCCTTTTTTAACCGACTTCCAAAAAAAGAGGAGGTTATCAGTTCGTCGGAATATTTTTTTTTTTTTTTTTTTTTTTTTTTTTTTTTNGATATATATTTTTTATATGGGAGTTGAAGTCGGTTTTTTTTTTCTAAAAATTACTAGTTTACTCTCAATTTTATATGATTTTAAAATGTTGGCAAACTTCAAAAAAAAATCATGGCCGACGAATTGAGAAAACGGTATTACCTTACTATGTTTTTATCATGAGTATATCTACAGAGAAGCAGTTTTTGATTCGATTCAAGTGTGACTGTCGTTTCACAGCGATGCTCATATGATTAATAGAAAGTTTGTTAGCAAAGGTGCCAATCCTAAACTGCTTCACATCGAATTAATGCCTCCATAGTGTTACCAGATAAATGGACGACCACCGAACAGAAATGTTGTGCGCCTAAACTAATGCCGAAAAACACACCCGTCTCTTGGATAGTGGCCGCTTTGGTTGAGCGGGAGTCGTAGGGTAATTACCTTTGTACACACCGTGACCCTTATGGTGAAGACCAGATTTCTGGACACACTAATTGGGTGACTAACAGCGGTCTCACATCTACCCTAATAAGACAGAACTGGGAACGTACAAGATCCCCACACTCACTTTACTTTGTGAACGCGGCATGGTAGATAACTGCGTTTTCAAATGCGCACCTTAACTTTTCTTGAACCTAGGTTAGGTCGGTAAGTAAACTCTTGAAGGTAGACTGTGCTTGCATAGTCTAAGCTCACGAAAAATGTATACTTCTAAGATCGCTTTTCGAATTTCAGGTAAGTTTAAAAGGAAATTTCTGCTTTTACATTTGTATTGGTGCTGTAGAAATTATTATAAATGTAATGCCGGTTATGTGAATGGCTGTATGTATGGTCAGTCAGGTGTTGCCCTTTTTACGGTGGTGTCTGGTAACATAGATGCCATGGTAGAGAGATCCAATGCAATAAAATTTTTGTTGTCGCATGTCCGTTTTTCAACTACCAATAGGTTTCGCAGTATTTGATTCTACTGAACATACTATCTTTTTCCCTAGTGCAAAACATCATCATAGCCGAGTACTTACAGGTGTTAATTTGCACTCGGTAGGCTCTAGGTTCATCCTTTGTTAGCGCATTTTCCAAATTCTAGAACAATCGAAAATGAAATATATGTAACTGTAGTAGGTACGCATTAAAATCTATTTTATCGACACTGTACTGCCCTTTTTTTCGCTAGCTGTTTGCTTTAAACACATCACTGTGCGTCTTTTAGACTTACTCAAAAATTTAGATATACA